CGCCCGGAGGAGGCGGCAGTCGTGTCCGCGGCACCGGTCAACGACTCCATCGAATGCCTCAAGAGCGGGGTGCCCGAAGCAAGAGATAAAGGCAAGGCACAGAAGTATGCTCGTGATCGGGCTTCCTTGCCACCCTTCGTTGTCAACTTGGTGGAGGAGCAGTCCAAGAAGTCGGGGAACCAACGGTCGTTCAAATCTGCCGCGATTAACCGACTCTACACGAGGCTCCCGGACGGGAGTCTCAAATTGAACTTGGGTGACCCGGTGTTCACCCAAGCTTCCAGCCTTTACGACAAGGAGTTCAAGCGAACATCCGACGAGGCCTACCCGGAGACGGTAATGAAGGGGATGTTCTTCCATAATTCGCAGGTGGATTTCGACAGAGCGATTTCAAAAGGCGAGATCTTCAGCACCAATGTTGACGGGGTTCCCTACTATGCCTTCACCAAGGTCAAGGTTGCCAGGGAAGAGGGAAAGAACATCAAGCACGAGCTCGTGGGCAAGAAGGATATCTCGAAGCAAGTGGGCGATCAGCTCTTGGATGCTTTGCATCAGGTGGGTTGGAAGATGAGCCGGAAGACGGCTGAGACCATGGTGAGCGACGGAGGCCTCAGCGAGGGGGCCCAGAAGCTTCTGGGCCAAGCTTTGGCTTCCGTTGAGAAGATGGGCAAGGAATCCTCGAACCTTCTCAAGTCCAAGCACGACCTCCCTGATCAAACGGTGAATCGATTGAAACTGGGGTATGCAAAGTGCACCGGGTACTGTGCCAGCCTCAACCAACTCAAGGAGTTCGAGATTATGCCGGATGGCTCGACCCCCTCCAAGGAGTCGCTGGACGAATTCTTCATGGGTGTGGCTCTCCACGTTCAGGAGCTGAACCTAAAGATCGAAGAAGCGAAGGGCCACATTAGGGCGAAGGCCAAGTGATTTGGTCTGATCGGCTGTGCTCTTGAGCGACATTTTGACCATTGAAGCCTGTGCTGCGAAAGCCGAAACCTTGTACAACACAAGCCCTTTGTACTGCATATACAATGTGATGTTACTCAGGCTTGCGACTTTTAGCCGAAACCTTATACAACACAAACCCTTTGTACTGCATATACAACGTGATGTTGCTCAGGCTTGCGACTTTTCCAGGTCGCTCGAGAGATTGTGTGCAACTTTGGCAAGAGCCGAAGATCGACCGA